AAAAAAAAAAAAACACATAATTGTAAAATCAATACATTCATCACTTCGTTCAGAATCTAAAAATCTAAAATCTATACATTAAAAGGCCTGTAATTAATATTGAGAGCTCGGCTGAATGTTTAAAAGCAGTAATTTGCTTATGTCATTCAAATAAAATACAATTTGAATTTCTGATAAGCGACTAAAGATATGTTTATATCATTAAATATACTAAAACTAAACCAATAATACGGTAGAACTTTAAAAAAAGTTATTCTAGTATTACTATATAATATTATACATCAAGAAAATAAAAACAGATAGCAATGCGTTTATTTAGAGGTATGGTAAAATAATAAACGAGCAGATTGATATATTTTAAAGCAAAACTTTCTTGTGACGACACCAAATTAAATAAAAATATAATTTTCGTAATTTAAGGACAAAATGTATGTATTTGCTTTGCGGAATGTGCCACTATATAAAGTTTAAATTCCTGAACAAAATGTCCTAAATAGAGCACTTCTCTACCTATTACCAGTAAAAATCTCGTTAAAACGATGCAGCTGTTTTGAAGATTACAGGATACACAGAGAAACATTTAAATTTTACTTATTAAGAGGACGTGATGCCGGTATATATTGTCTTCGTCTTGCAATAGCGTAACATAGTACATTTTACGCTCAGTAGATCACGTTTAGCTCCGTTAGTTTAAAAATTAGAGAGAATTTACCTATTATAAAATTGAAAAGTATGAGTATTATTTAGACTATGGGATTTTTACTTTCTTTTAATTTTGAAGCGAGTTATTAATATTTTAAAATTGTAAATTTTTTTTRCATCTTAAAATAGGTACATAATTATAAATAGCTTTAAAATTAAAATATAGTAAAAGTCCCATGAGACCATCTAAACACGAGTTAATACATTACGTATAATAATTAATATTTTTAGACAATTATGAATTAAGGATAAATTTATAATTTTAAATGATTAAATAAATAATATATAAACTATTTAATTTAAAAACCTACGACTATTATAGGTACTCGATAGCCCCCCCCCTGGACAGCTAAACACACACATACACTCATACATACATATATTAGTAATTAATTATTAATTTCCATAAATATAATATGAGTAAAATTTAAATATGTAATTTTAGTAATTATTGTCCAAATTACAATTTCAACAGATACAATTTATTCTATCTATAGTTAAAGTAATTGATATGCCTAATTATTACTTTTTTAGTTTATTGTATATGTATGTTACTAACTTAGACTTCAAACTACCATCATTTTTTATTAATTGTAAACAAAAGTTATTACTTTTTATAGATTTTCTAGTAAGGTGTCATCTAGAAAATATTGATGGGTATAATTTTACAAACAATACAGACACAATAAATTTGACTTTTAGGATAATATAGGAGCATTTATATGGTTGAAGCTTTGTATTAATAAAATAATTAAAGGAATACTCGTGCAGTATGCTACCAATCAAAAAAATGTTCACCGGTTGTATGCTACCCACTAGAAAATATGTCATATAAGTTATATTTTTATTTAATTTTATCATGTGAAAATACATGTGACTTGAATTATTAGGATAAATAATATAATATTATACCAGTCATACGATACTCTAATAGCCAAAAAGCTATTATACTTCTAAGTATCTGGTAAATATCCACCAAGACCCACAATTACTTACTTTTAGACATTATATTATTTAAACTGTGTTGACTGCCAATTAAAAGGGAAATGGTGGCAGTCCATTAAAACACAACATGATAATTTATTTGAAGTTTTCTAGGATGAGATTACAATATATAATGTTTTATAATAGTGGACAATGATGATCATTAACAATACATTAAATAAATTTTAGTTTAATAAGTTGTTAATAATATCTATAAATTAATATGTAAAAATGGTAAACAACCGTAAACTTTTTTAGTGGGTACGTAGCATATTACATGAGTACTAAAACAATAAGTGCATCATATACATACATAATTATGTATTAGTTAATTGTAATTGAAATAAAATAATTTATAGGACTAAAATCAAACATTTGGATTAAAACTAAATATCAATTATAGCATCCATAAATATTTATGTTTAATAGAATTATAATATAGTATACTCAATAATATACCTTAAAAATATTATTAAAAAAAAATAATATGCATTTCATAAAGTTGCCTACATAAATAGCCATATAAATTTGAATGACTGAATAACCAAAGCCAAACTATAATTTATAGCTCACAMATTACCTATTCTTTCATAATATTTTTAGTTAATACCTTTATTTGATTACATATACCCGCCATATAAATATATACTAATGCAATTTACCTCAGTAAATAAAGAAAAAAAGCAACAACTTTAAATTCCAAAAACCATGAATTCTCTTCATAATATATACACTAAAAATCAAATAATATTCCTAATATGGAATGTAAATCAAGCAATTGAATTATTATAAATTACCTTATCTATTTTCTTCTTATTTGGCGATGGTAGTTGACTAGCTAAGTGTAAGGCATTTTCAGATGCTATCCGATTAAATTTTTGTGTTCGGTCTTTTACACTTATCTGAGGCTGCTGAGGTTGATCGTTTTCTTTCTATACATTACATACACGCAAAAGCAAAACACAAAATAATAATGAAATAAGCAAAACACATAAAGTTTAAAAAACAAAATAGKTAAGCAAAATAATCCGGCTGTGCAACAATTAACCATTTGAAAACAAATCCGTAAAAAATAAATTAGCAAAAATAATACAAACACAGTTAACTTACATAATTATCCTTAGAATTTACTATAACATTGTCGCTTAATTCAGTCAATTTAATTTTTTCAGAACTTCTACGCCTAGGAGGAACAGGTGGTGCAGCTTCTTTAGTTGGTGAGCATTCCTTAGGCGATGCAATAGGAGAAGGTGGCGGACGATAAGGTGGGGGTTGTCTAAAGAATGAAATTTAAAGTAAATTAAACATTTAATAAATTACGTAAGACATTTTGATTAATTATTTGTCGTTCATACCTAGCTGATGGCGATACCATTGGTGATCTTTGTTGAAATCTAGGAGGGTCAATAAGAGAATCTTGTGATAATGAGTTATGTACAGAAGATAAACCAGGATAAGAGGTTAGTGAAGTTAGAGAAGAAGCTGTGCTCATGGAGGGCTCTAATGATAAACCAATACAACCAGCTACTCGAAAGCGACGTTTAAGCATTAAATACTTTTCTCCCTAAAAATTATAAAATGATCTTATTGAATAAAAACAAAAGGATGCCTAAATTGTTGTATTACATCTTCTCCACAAGTAACGGTAGCCACAGTATTAACAATTTCTTTAAACTTATGTCTTGCTTCAGCTATAAAACAACAATATATTTACTTAATAAAACTAATATTAATAAAACGTTTATGGACATACCTCTATTTTGTGGATTTGTTAGAAAATATTTAAAGTGAGTCACTAGGTCATGGTTAGTAACTCTACCATTGTTCATAATCATGAAATCACGGACGGATTCTAGACTTAACTCATTCGGAACAGCCATAATCCCAATATAATTTTACAAAAAATATAAGAAAATAAAAATGAATTTAAATGTACGAACAATTAGAAAAAATTACAAGTTAAGTTGCAATAACATGAGTCTTATAAACTATTAACACGCATATCAACGCACGTAAATAGTAAATACTAAAATTATTAAAATTCAAAACTATAAGATTAAATAGTAAATACTGATAACAAAAAAAAAAACAACAACCCGTTATCAATTTATTGTGATATGACAGAATCTACTGGTCTTAATATGATGAACACCGGAACGTACATGATTCGTAAACCGATTTCAGGGGTTCTCAATTCAAATATTATCATTTATTATATTCAAAATTTAAATTAATTAATACTAATAATACTTACTATAATTTATTATTGTACTCCTAATTTAATTTTTTTTTTTTATTATTCATTTATGGATTTGTATACAATTATACCCGATTAATATAGGTATTCCATACAAATCATACAATAAGTTAGTGAGTAGCACAATAAAAGACATGTAGTGATCGCCGTGAAGGACACGTTGAACACAATACAATTAATTATTTAAAGTATTATTAGTATTAATTCATTTAAATATATTATCTAAAATTATGGTGAGTAGTGACTTTTCATAACTCACCTGATTATTCAAATGGTGCAAAATTCATCAGTAAAAAAAAAAAAATATTATGATTTGATCTTTTCAGGTAATTTAGTTTCAACTAAGTACACTAATTTCATGATACCTTACAGTCAAAAATTCAAAATACTGAGAAACAAAATATATGGGTACATGGTACATTCAAAGAATCTGATTGATACACAATGCACATAGTACATAACATAGATATCAAATAACCAATGTCTAAAAATTAAATGTTTAAATTGGTGTCTGACAATTCAAACCATGTAAATTGCAATACAAAATATACCTATAGGGCTATAGATATATGGTAGGTACATTAAACAGTAAAAATCAAAATTATTCAAAACAACTAATTGCCTTAAGCTAAGTACAATTAATAATTTATACTTCCATGGTGTAAATCTCTAATAAATTATATTTTTATTGCAAAAAAATTAAATAATTAAATCCCTATAGATAAGTAATATTATAGTAGTAAATAATATCAATATTCGCTATAGTTTTATAATGTTCATTTTATACTATGAATTATATTGTTTATTATACCACTATATTGTATTACCTATGTGATAATTTTTATTGAAAAAGCGATTGCCTATCAATGGCTTAGGTATTTTAGGTAGCTAGATACTATAATTTATAATTCATATTATATGATGATAATATTATATTGACACTATTGTACCAATAAAGGATTTTTTTTTTATCAAACAAACAATCTAGTATTAGACTCTGTTGTTCTAACAGAACTATAAACTGACATTCAATGGGCATTGAATGTAACATTACATTTTAGATACCTATGTTTAATGTTTATACATTAAATAATAAATACTAAACATTTATAATAAACAAAATTGAATTTTTAAGAATAACAAATAGTGAAAATATGTATATATATATTAAAAAAAAAAAAAACAATGAATTTAAATATTAAGTATTGTATAAAACTTACAATTTATTTATAAGTGAGTTTCTGATAGGGACTGTATGAGCTTGAAGATGTTGTTAAACAAATTGAATCACTCTGTTACAAAATAATAAAAATATAGTTTAATTGTATTAATTATAATATTGTACCTTTATRCCAAAAACATTTCCCAGAATGTTTGTTCTGTAGAAAAATCGGTTTAAAAATCTTATAATTAAAAAGATGATCGTTGAAATAAAAATATTTGATAAACAATATGATTTTTAATTTAATTCATGTTTCCTCTCTTAATGCACACATTCTTATAATGGTTTGTAATATAGATTACATATTTTCTTTAAAAAAATATATAAGATTTTATTTAAATATCCTAAAAAAAAGTATTAAAACATTATACTATAAATTCATTTTGACTATTGTTCTCATTATAATAAATTATGATAATTCTCTATAAATGTTTCACAACAGGCAATTGTTATTAGTTTATTACACATCAATATCATTACAAAAGATATAATATTTTTTTGATTTTACAGTTATATATAACATATTATAATACGGTGTATTAGTATTGACCAATGTATTATTTCAAACAATAATTAAATATCAATATACCCATTGCTTCTGTTCTAAACACAGTAAGTACACATGTGATGGCTATGTAATAGTAATAGCCAATAAGTAGCTTGTAATAACTAGAAATTAGAATACTGGATGTAAAATATATAGAGAGGTAGGAAAGGTATGTCAGCRAATTAACTGTGAATGAACATAATATTAAAATAATAACTACCTACTATAATTTAAAATATTGCTTCGTTATTAATTATTATGTGTAGGTACAACTATTATACAACCAAATGTAGACGATATATAGATAATTCCATTCATTGTTGTACTATATTTCAACAGTATAGTTGAAATTTAGGTTAGTGGTATTATAACACAAGTAAAGGAATCAGGAAATTACTACATTATAGATATTTATATATTATGACTATAAAATTATCTATATAGCATTAAGAATATTAAATTTTAATATACATGTTAACATTATATTTTAACATGATAGTAAAAAATAATAACTGGTGAACTCGCGATTCTATTGAGTTTCGTAAATTTCAACTTTCAAGTATTCATCATTGAGTCATTCAGGTCATTATAATTCATATTATGTTAAATTTGAATTCTATAATAAATTATTGTATAAGTACAATTCTGCATCCGGACCCGAAAACCAGCGGTCTGGCACTACGCAAAATGATGTAATTAGGTAATTCATATTAAATATTTTTAAAATGCCATTGTATACAAACACATTTTAAATAATTATATAACACAATTATAATAGCTAAAAATTTTAAATTTCTTTGATTATTTCGTTTCGTAAATTAAGGTAGCAACAATTTAAAGAATAATCGTTATTTTTCGTTCAATTGACAATTATTAATCTCATATTTTGTCAAAATTTTAATAACGAAATCTTACAAACAAAATGTAAATATATCAATTTTTAAAAATATTTTTCAGTGTAATAATAACAATTTATGAGGAACATTGAATTACTTATTGTTTTAAGGGTAAAAATATAAAATGTTTACAGTTGAAAACTTCATGAACTGAATTGTTGTACAAAAAAGTTTTTTTAATTTTACATTCATTAGCTAGTGTTAGTTTCCATGATTGTAGCCAATATAAAAAATAAATAATAACTAAAAAAATTGAAATGATTTTTATGATTACCGAAACGTAAAAAAGCAATTAAGTTATTACCTCCTTAGTGGTTGGAAAATCTAGATTTTATTGCTATTCGAGCGAAGTGATCAGTGATCAGTGTCCCCTAAATTCTGATTACATTAAAATAATTTGCGATTTTACTTGTTTTAAAGAAWTTCTTCAAACATTTCAAACGGTTGAAAAATTTGTATTTTATATTTATTAACCGCTGTAAGAACACTACATTTATCTCAGAAATCTTGTATTAAAATGTCAAGCTTTTTAATTATGAAATAAAAATATTATCAAGAAATACCCTACTATGTTAATAACAAAAACTAAAACAAAATGTAGAATACTTTTTAAATGTTTATGGGAATATATATTATATGTAGCAACTTCAAAATATGTCTAAATAAATCGAAATCTATAGATGTATAGTGAAAATATTAAATAATCTGTATGTAACTGTAATGTATAAAACAATACCTATAATAAATACAATATTGAGTTTATTTTTACCCTCCACATTTTATACAAAATAATACCAGTCATATTACTAAATATTGTATAAACGAGTACCTATAATATATTTATGACGTATTTATTAGTTGTACAGTAATTAAATTTATTGGCTTATGCTTATGCTGTTAATAAAATGCATGCCATGTAAAATATGGCTTGGGCGAGGTAGCTGAGCAATATCTCTTTAAATGATTTATGAAATATATCTCTATAAAGTCCTGTATAGCACTGAGAATGGGCAGAATGGTGACATATAAGAAGATTAATTAAGTTATTTTTAGAATGTAGTATACTATTTATGCGTGGGATGTTGTTTGTAAAATGTTTCAAATGTTTAGAAGTGAAATAATTATTTTTAAATGCTTAGGAAAATAAGATTGGTATTAGGTGCAGCTTATAATTATTATTTTAAATACGCTGATATTAACTAAGTTTATTTTACATTTTATTTTTTTTTTAAACTACTCACTACAGTAAAGTTGTTACTTGTTACCTAGTTATAACAACTGTAATCTTATTTAATATCGTACTTATTATTGCATACGATTTCTGATGTTAAATGTACCGCTCGATTTTTAATATAGATACAATTATTGAATTATTATAGAAATTGACAATTGTAACAGTATTGATATGAATATAATATATATAATATTCACAATTTCTCATACCTTGCTTCTATCGCATTTATATTATGAAGATTGAATTATGATAGGTGTATAATGTTTGGTATAATATCAATGTATGTTTGATATTTGCATAATAATATAATGGTCATAGGTAAATCTATATCATTGGAAACCCAAATGCCCATCTGGGTAATAGGACATAGCCACATGGTTAGGTGCATTGATGGTATGCATAATAATATGAGCGTAAGCGGTAAAAAGTATGAACGCGTTGTTATACAATATTAATGGGTATGAATTTTGACGTCGCAAGAGCCAAGTCCTATTTTAATATAGGTATCTTGGTATCTACTAAATCAGTACTAATATTATAATATGTATATAGGTGGTACCTGCTTGTGCCTATTAGGTATTTTATGAAGCATTAATCCGTTTGCTCAGTCCCCGGATGTATATTTAAGAGTATAGTGACCGCAATATAATGGTCGAAAATATATTAATAATTGTCCTAACTCCTAAGGCTAAACAAACAATAGAAGAGTGGTATAATAATATTAAAACGGTCAGTCGCACTATTTAAACGCCCCGACGTAAAACAATATTATATATATATATATATATATAGATTAAATGCAATGTATATGTGTGCTTACGCGCTCATGTGTGTGTATATGTATGTGAAACAAACGCATTGCGGAAAACACTACACACA